GTTATCTCGTGTGAGAAGGCGAGCAGGCTTCTGGACCCCTACTGTGTCCCCTTTAACCCACTTCGAAAAAATCAACGTCGATAGGCCTGGAGGAGGGTGAGGGCGTAAAAGTTTCAAGACACTGGCGAGTAACTTTACTTCCTAATGAACCTTCAGATCCCGGTTGACCAGGCATGAGCCCTAACAACCCTATCAAGAATCCCTTACCCTTCCCACTCATGCAACCCTGTTCTCTAAGGGCTCGCGTTAATAGTGGGGGGTAGGGGGGGGGGGGGGGAAGGGTATTGCGTGATGTATCTCGGAGGTTTCGCCCTCACATCATGGCTCATTGCCCATCATCGGAAGCCGAGAAGATGAGACTATCACTTTTTAGACCTTCCAAAGTGGTAGGTTTCTGGCATCTCGTAGCTTTGCTATCGGTGTTGCTCATGGAGGGCTACTCCAGTAAGGGTAGGGGAAAGGGTCACATGAGTAGATTGAGGGCCCTTTTTTGGAGATTGATGATTTCTCAAGGGAGCTGAGCACCTAGAATTCAAGAAAAAGGAGATTTAACATTCACATCCTTCTTTCTGCCTTATTTTAAGGCCTCCCAGTCGGTGGTTCCTACATGGAAGCTGTAACTCGGCCGAGGACGTTCTTCGTAGCCCTAATTTCAACCTGCTCCCGGCTCTTCATAATAAGACGGTTTTCATTGATGTCCTATCGTGATCGATCCCATTTCTCATAGCAGCGTTCACCCAAACCGCCTTTTCGCTGAACTACCAGTTTCCGTTACCTTATCGCCACCGACCGGTGTTCCCACAGGTTTCGTGCGGACTTTCGCTGGCCTGCAATTGAACAGATCAACCTCGTCACCGTTTTCGGTATTCCCGCTGTTAATAATAGGGTGCCGCCCACTTTCATGGGTGTTTTATTTGGGTTACGTAGCACTTCATGGATTGATTCCTATTGACCTCCTCGATATACCCACTACTTTCACCTACAGGGCGGTTTCGATGTCCTCGGAGACTATAGCCCTTTGGAGGCTTTCGTGACTTCCAAGAAAGTCGCCCCGGAGCGGATTCAGCGAAAATTCAGCGAAAGTGTAACTTTAAGTGATCAATAAGACATCGATTATCACAAGCGAATTAGCAATCGAGAATTTATCAACGGGAAGCGGCTGCTGGTCCCGTGAATGGGGTCATCAAGTGGGAGGTGGTGCGAGTGAGCCGAAAGTGAATGGAGCGACACGAGAGAAAGTTGAAGAATAACATCGCACGAAACATCCGCCAACAACTTACAGGTACCGGAACATGCGCATGGCTTACCCACTTTGAACAAGTGGTCACGAGCCATTTTTATTCGATTGGAAGGAATCAAGTCAAGCTTCACTTCTACCAATGCCGACATGTGCTCTAGCTGTGGGAATAGTGGTCTAGTAATGGGTAATTTGCATGGGTAAAAGTTGAAGGAGGAAGGTGAAGGATAAAGCAAACGAAAGAGAACCAAACTAAGGTACCAGAATTCCCTCTAAAGGAACCTGCCGACACAGATTTGCAAATTAACTACTTTACTTCTTACCCTTGACAACTCCCCGTTTGAGTCCTGATTTCTCCTTATTTGAGAACTGCCAAGTACCGAAAAGTGAGGGTATGAAGACTGATTTCATATTACATTTTGGTTATGGGGCTGATGGCGAAGTGGCATTATCACACACATGGCCACGGGATGGAACCTAGCATCAATACCCTTCTCAGGCGAGATAAATTCCTTATGACTAACTCACACAGTTACTTTGGAATCAGCTTATATAACCCATAAATCATAGCTGAAGCCTGAAGCTTATGAAGTCTTCTCAGTTGAATCAGATTTTCTAAAAAAAATTATAAAAAATATATAAATGTAAACAAATAAACATGTAAAAGTAAACCCCATTTCCTAGTAATTTTTGAGGTTAGCCATGCATTTTACATCAGAGCAGTTTTCGTAAGCGTTTTACTCCAGTTCAATGAATTGTGCAGTCCACTCTACCTGAGAACAGTTACCCGACCTCATAAGAGAAGGGTTAAAGCATGATTACTATAAATACCGACAAATGATCTAACCTAGTAACTTATAGCAGTTACCTGTCAATTTCTATCATTACCTTCATTCAGGGCCATGGTTCACGAGCAGACGTTACTCCAAAGACTTACGACTCAAAAGAAGTGCTACCTCAAACAACTGAAAAACCTCTAACTACCACAAAGTCATCGTCCGACAAATCGCAAAGTCTTGACGATTATGATGAAATAAGGCGGAAGAAAATTGAGGTACTGCGTGACTTCTTACTTTTTCTGAGTTTTCGTGAGTGAAAGGAAAGCCTTGAGGCCTTCTGCCTTTTTTCTAAAGGAGTGTGGAGTCAGTTTGGAAGGAACCAGAAGGTGCTACGCCACATTCTTGTAGAATCTTTCCCAATTTTTTAGAAATCCGAATTCCGGTGAGTCACGCGCGCAAGTTCTTCGCCGATCATAAGCTTGACCTCGGTTCCCCCTGAATAAGTTCTTTTCCGCCCGACCGTGAATTCTGCCCGCAATTAATAGCCTTCCATCGACCCCATCTACAAAGGCCCCTCTATCATTCGGTCACCGATCTTGGCGTATCTGTCTTGAGACGTTCCACGGGTGGATTGGGTTCGTTCGATCGTCTGCAGAATTAGCGGGGAAAGAATCGGGCAAATTGGATTTATTAGGCTATCGTCAACACCTGGGTTGATCAGCGCCATTTTACCCCACCCATACCCCCGAAAGTTGGTTAGCCGATACCTGAAAAATACTTCACATGGACCTCAAGGACATAACCAGTGCCTTCACTTAGCTTAGAGAGAATAAACAAATTTCCTTTCGGCCTTTTTCTTTTGGGTTACCTCTTTCCCTCTCGGGAACCGACTAGATGTTGGAATTGACTTTAACTCGTTTATAAGTTGAGACGCCTCAGTAATAAAAAGTAAACAATGAAGAAGTAAATAAACAATTTCCAACCTCACCTACACAACTTTTCGTTTTCTCGTGTGATGCCCTTACTCTCTCTTTTTATTCTTGTAGGGCAGTTAAGCCAGCGTATCGCAGAGAAGGATTAGGAAGTGAAAGATTGTGGGGTGTTTCTAGAAGTGAGCCACGTATTCGACTTTTACCCAAGATCGCTGGAAGACTTGAATGAGTAGCTGGGCCCAGTTTCCACGATGGGTCTAAGACAGAAGAGTGCACATCAATCCTTTTCCACTAGGCATTTTGGAAAAACCGACCTTTGGAGGCTGGAAGGTACGGGTATTCGGCACAGAATGGGACGGGATTGAGCAGGATTTCCCGTTCGATGACTGTGTTACCTCTTTTCCGGTCGTACCACCTTTACCCATCCCACATATCACGTATTCGCCATGAAATGCGTAATGACCCATCTGTTGTTCTTATCCTTTTCTTATATCCTTTTCCCTCCTGTTTTGATCCTCGGAGCCAAAGTGTGAAAGGACCATGAAATGGGTCGCTGCCAACGATCTGATTGTGTAACATACCAGAAATTATGTCAATTATCCTTCTTTGTAGCGATTATGAAGCAATTCTACAAGATCGGTAAGCCTTGATCCGTATAAATCTCAAGACAATATCTTGCTTCCTGCTTCAATCGGTCGCGGTCGAGAAACCGGACATCGGGACGGGCGGCTGGCCGGTCGAAACTGTCGCCATACGCCCGACGATCGGGGTCGCATCAGATAGGCTAACGAGTCTCGCATGCTTATGAAAATTCAAGGGAATTACACTACGATGACCTGTTAATCAGCTCAAAGCTACATTTTCTTTACCATTTAGTACTGTAACAAAGAAATTGTATATTGGTTACTTTAACTGATTATTGGATGGTTTAATCTGTAAGTAGAACTCTAATAAAAGGAAAAAGTCATCGAAGTGAATCTCGCTGTCCTAAGGCGTACTCCGACTACTTTGACATCCGTTTTGGCTCTAAAAACACTCTCCTCAGCCGAAGGATCAAGAATTCTGAGAAGAAACCTTACTTTCCATCCTCTCAGGTGCTTCCTATACGGAGTAACCGGCTCTGAGTTACTAGAGCCCTCATATGGAGAAAAATGGATACAGAGTTTTGTCATTGTCTTTGCCAGGTGCCCTTTGACATCACCTACCTATACCCTTGGCAGAACTGATCAGAATCAGTCGAATCGCAGGTTTCGGTAAGCTGTGAATTCAAACGTCGCAGACTTCAGCTTCAAAGGTCCACGTTTTCGCGATGGAGAGATCTGCTTCTTGCCAGAAGCGCTTAGATGTTTATNGTGGCTTTTTATGGGCCTAGTAGGGTCACACACGCTTAACCTGGAGCGCCTCGTCGTTTATATTGACTTTTTATGAGTATAGTCGATGTAGCGAGATACAACCTCCTGTAAAAAGGGTGTGATATCAGATAGGAATAAAGATCCTGTTCTGAACCTGCGGCGAAGAAATCTCATCAACAAGGGCAAGCGAAGGGAGGGGTGTTGAATTTTTAGGATCGAAAAAGCTTTATTCATGGTAGAATTGAGTTCCACGCTTTGACAGTTGAGAGCCGTGGGAAGGAGAAAGACCGAGGTTGCGGGGTCAGCTTCCGATAGTTAAGGCGTCTCAGACTGATAAGTGGTGCTGCTTCAGCTAATCTACAAAGACCCAGTTGCTCGGGAGGAGGAGAGGGAGGGAAGTGTTCAATATGACGACCATGACGACCTGGTCATCCACTACGTCCTCCCGGAACGGTGACGCTCCGTAGTGAAGCATGTTATGGTGCGATGAGATTCCTACATGGGCGATGACTCAATCGTGGTTGAATCATCTGGCGGGTGTGTAGCCAGCAAGGCGAGAAGGAGTCAAACAAGCTTCCAAGGGATATCTATTGATTCCGTCCATGAAAGGAATGCAAGCACACGACGGGTTCGAGTCGTTAACACCCTATCGCCTATGATTTCTGCTGGCAAAGCGTGTTCAGGAGAAGATTCCTATGAAATGCGCAGAATCCCTTGCACTTCGCTCAGTTATCCCAATCAGGGAAGTTTGAAAAAGCGCCTTTATGATCGAATTTCTCTCAGTCGATCGAGGAAATGCTAGATAGTCGGTACTGTTATATCATGTTTTAATTTCTATTTGTATCACTGCATAATAAGTTATTTTATTGGGCGGAGGTGGTGCAGTGGCATTTGGCGCAAAATACCCATGGTTCGTGGATCAAATCCCGGATACTTGCTTAAGCCAACAACGTCATCTTTCTTGGTCCGATAATTGGTACCAGACTCATATGGGAAGATAAAAGCGCTGAGTTGTTCATAGGCTGGCTCGTGAGTCATTATGTAGACCAAATACTCACTCAATACGCCACTACGAGTCAGAACGGGAGTCGACTGCGGGGCGCATCCCAACAACGGGATTGAACAGTGTCGTCGACACTATCCTTGCTTGTTCTAATAGCCGCTCTCGTTCAAATATAGGAGGTATTAGCTCAGTATGTAGTAAGTAAAACTGGATAGGGTCATAGAGAGGCCAGGAAAGATGGGACATTTGGTTGATTTAGGGGAGGAATAGGGCAGGGCAGGGATGTATTCTTGAGTAACTGTGAAACGTTACTTGTACTCGTGGAGTAGTGAGTAGAAATAGACAATAATAAGCGAAGCTCTCAAAGGTCAGGTACCTTTTTGGAATGTTTTCGATTACCACTACGGTATGGGTGAAGCAATAATAAGTCACCATAAGTCACCAAGTCAACTTAATAAGACCATTTAAGAAGGCTCCAAGCAGTGGAACGGCCTTTAGTGATTAATGGCTCTCACTGAGCCCGAAATCCCTCTCTCCCACTTAACTGGTAAGTTTTCAGCGTTAAAAAGTTGCCATAGAAAAGTTTTCTCATGTGAAATTGTGCATGAAGCCGAGAACCTGATTGCACCATGGTGAATTGTTAGGTTTTTTCCGTTCCAACGAGGTTCTCAGTGGGTGAGTGGGTGGATGAGTGACTGGTCTCGCTTATGTCGTAAGCCTGTTCTCAAGCTCTACTCACACAGAATGTGTCACAGAGATGCTATGGATGAGTGAATAATTGTTGACGTTCGATCCGCCTGTTCCAAAAGCGTCAGTGCGCGTGTTTCCATCCAAAGAAACGATGTTTCACTTGGAAAGCCAGACTTATTTTGGCTCCAACATGAAGAACACAATCATTTCAGGCACGATGGAAACGACTTGGCATAAATCTTCGCACGATACAGTATCCAATACGAAGGGGAAGTGGTGAGAAATCACTCGAACTACAGAAGCTGACAACAATTTCCAAGGACAATGTCGTGGACCGGAAGAGTGCAGGAAAACAGATCGGCGATCCATCATTAGAGGTATGCAGGAACAACACCCTAGCCCACTGACCACGACTTTAGTTTTACGACTTTTCAAAAAAATTGTAAGCTTTTTTTACAATTTCTTCGTTCCGAATTTTTCGCTTGTCCATTTTTAGCAAAACTCTCATTTTGACACGATTCGAATGCACTTAAAGACACAGTTCACCATAATTTCGAGTTCCCCTTATTAGGTTGAAAAGCGGAAGTATTTTTTGGGACTAGTGTATCGGTGGTGAAGGAAGCGATGAAATTTCGTCAGTTTCAGAAAAATAAGACCTCAAAAGAAGTGGAAATAGAGGTTGTACGAGATAACCATGACGAGAACGACAAGGAATAGGTATTTGGACGAGATTTCATCAGTTGCAATCGCGCAAAGAGCTGACTACATCAAGCCAAAACTGTCCAAAATTGCCTTTAACTGACGCTCTGGATCATGACAAGTTGTTCAAACTCCCTACATGTGTTCCCTTGTGTATGGTGCAGCCTCTACAATGCCAGTGAAACTCGTCCACGCATACACACGGGACAATGAGGACAATGTTTGAGCCTTCATAATGACCAATCTAAGCCGTTTTCCGATCTGACAGGGCCACATCTAGGAGGGGGCCACTGATTTATGCTAGTAGGACATCTTTATAAGCCATAAGCCATCTTTATCGTGATCTGCGTTTTTAAGGTTGAATACAAGACTTAATACTGGTAGCGATAACCACGCCAATTTCCTTTGAACTACTACTAATGCTATATAATAATAATAATCATATAATAGTAATAATGATAATAATAAATAATAAATAATACTCCACCAATCAGGTAGCATAGAGGGATGACAATCTTTACGGTATAATTCCTTGTATAGCTGCTCCAAATTCATAATGTCCTGTCGGTTTCGAACCTAATGACTCCCATGATCACTGCTTTTTTTATTACTTTTACTATTTTCACTACCATTACTACTACTACTATTCCTTAAACGGACTATTCTTTGTGTCGGCATGTCATATTATCGGTCCATCGCGACATAATTAGTTCTGTAAACGTTTTTCATTGCCAAACATTTCCCTTTCCATCACGCTGCTCAGTCAAATATTAGTTTTTTTCGCTTTTTTTACAGAAGGACGAGATTCATGTAACACGATCGCCAAATACCCGGAAATCGGTACCATCGATAGTGTCCGACAAGAACATCGATCAGCCGCAACAATTCCGCCCACGACCCCGAATCCATGGACCGATCCTGGGCATTGTGTCCAGTGATGGAGGAGGTAAATCCTAGTTGAATTAGTTGTTGCTTGAATGCTCAGTGAAGTGAAGCTACTGCTTTAAATATTCTTTGCTTTGCTACTAGAAATATGTTTTGCTTGTTTTGCAAAATATTTACCAATCAATAGTCATACCCCATGTCATACCGTAACAATCAACCCCCTTACTAATACCGTAATCCTCTGTTGATCGTCCTGATTGCTGCTAATTTCGAATTCAGTTTATATTAAGCTGGCCTGAGTTGACTGATTGCTTTTTGTGTTTATGGCTACCTAACCCTGAATGCCATTTCCAGCTGTTGATAAGAGCCCCATAAGTATGTTTAGATGCGCATGATACGGGTANCAACCCCCTTACTAATACCGTAATCCTCTGTTGATCGTCCTGATTGCTGCTAATTTCGAATTCAGTTTATATTAAGCTGGCCTGAGTTGACTGATAACCCGTTTTGCTTTTTGTGTTTATAGCTACCTAACCCTGAATGCCATTTCCAGCTGTTGATAAGAGCCCCATAAGTATGTTTAGATGCGCATGATACGGGTAACGGTGACAGTTTGGGTGGTACACAACATCAAGCGATTGTTGTCTCATCTGAATCGGAACCGCCTCCAGCTCCTCCCAAGGCTATCATCCCACTACCACGATTTGCCTCTCCGGTAGCCAATCCGTCACCGAACAGCGACTATCACTCACGAACCATCCCTGTGTTCAAGAGTTACAAATATGCGCAAAAACTCAGTCAACGACCGCGATTGAGGATCAGACGTCCTGGTAGGGATATATTTATAGTAGTAATTATGATATTAATATATAAAGCTTTCCAAACTGATCTCTTTTTTCATAGCACAATGACAAGTAGGAAATAGATTTGAAAGGTTTGGGATCATACCCTCCTTTGCTTTTTTTGGATCTCCATATTCGGCCTTTTGAACCCGGTTCTAGAGGCATTATCAATGAAAGCACCCGGCAGGAATCTCCAATATATATATGACCGGTTTTCTAAGAAATTTCTGGAAAAGTATTTCACTAAGGGTTACCCAGGAGCTAATTACCAACTGCAACCTTACATCAGTGGGAAGTGATGGTGAATCGGTGCTTAGATACGCCTTTCACGTTATCAGAAAGGTTGTTTCCTCCTTGGCTGACCAGTTTTCTTCTCGACAGCTCGGGTTTCATGGTGGGCTTTTGGTTTTGCATGGTTGGCCAAAAGGTCAGTCTAATCAGAACATTGTGTTGCGCTTATTATCGGTCAGGATAACTATCATTTTATCGATTTTTTGGGTTGGATCAATAACACAGACTTTTGAGTTGAACAGCGATACCAAGTATTTGGTTTGGATCAATGATGGTTATAGGAACTACTTTTGTATGGTACTTTCATCAAAAGCTGGATAACTGGGAAGTTCCGAGATGGGAATAATTGTAACATAATGTCTTCCCAAATTTTGGGCAAAATCGGTGACAGATCGTCGATTTTTTGAAAATTGAGTGGAGAAATGTTGAGAACTGCACTTATCAGCTGCCCCAAAAGGTCAATTAAGTATTTTCTTTTGAGTTAGAGGTAAGTTTCAAGAGTAGCCCATTTCCGAAGCCTCCCATTCGCCCAACCAGTCACTTTATTACTAAAGTAATTGATATAGCTGGCAAAATATCCCGAGTAGGGACTCAATTTTTTTCTGGTAAGTTTTTGAGCTTCGAAAGAAACAGCTCGTTTATAACGAAACTTTTCCATTCTTTGATTGTAAAAAGGCTCAGGGTAAAAGTAAAGTTTTCGACTGCTTATCGTCATTGTGGATACGCCACGTTCTCCAAATACGACCGAAATTGTAACATGCCCTCAAACCCTAGTTGATAGTCCCAGCCACCTANGCTAATCTATTCTTTGAAGTTAGAAGATTTGGTTGATCTGACCACATTGCAATCCCATCGTTTGGTTTGATCGTTTGACCAATCCTGCGGAACGGAACCTCTTTACAGTACACCGCCTCATGGGAGCAAAATTTAGGTATCATAACCGGCAAAGGTGTAATTTTAATTTCTTCAAAACGGTCTATAAGCTAATAATATTTCTTACGCCATTTTCTAGTTTATCAGCAATTTAATATTGTTTAGGAGAGAAGTCCATCTCAGAGAATTCGATTCAAGAAGATCCGAATCTGACACCCTTCCAGAATTCGGCAAAAAGACGATTCGGATACGGTAGTCATGGAGGACTTGACGGGCCAATACCATACCGTTGGTTTTAGTTTATATTATAGTATTCGTTAGGTGCTGTTAGAAAGAGTTCTCCCCTGTTAGAGAGACTTAGTAATGGGAATTGACCCTACTTCTCCGTACCTACTAAACTACATCGTTTAGATTACTCAATGAGAGCCTTCTGCAGAATACCTTTGTACTAACTAAGACTTTTAGCTCGTACGATACGGCCAGTGCCTACATCATTCGAAACACCAACACAAACCACCACTCAGCCGACAACGACCGTCACTGAAGCCACTACAACAACAACTGAGGCTCCTCCTCCCGAACAATCTGGACAGGAAACGGAAGATTCCGGTCAGTCAGCTTTTTTGCTTCGATTTCCCCCGATATTAGGCCATAACGAAAGGTTTTCTGCTCCAGGAGCTGGTTTCGGTTTCGGTCCATCCGAGCTTCCTCCGGAGTTGGCAAACGTCGGTTTCGGAATTGGAGGCAATGGTATTAACTTCAACATGCCAGCAGCTGAAACTCCAACATCTCCTCC